TGTGTGTGTGTGTAGAGAGAGGGAAAGATGGAGGTAAGGGAAGTGAATAAGAGAGGCTGAAGTTTTCTTGGTTCTAAAATTACATATAAAAACATCTGTTGCTTCATGCAATTTGTACACCACTTACGCATTTGTGAAAATACCAAGCCTGAAAATCCGAAGAGCAAGGGATACATTTTTACAAATAAAATTTGTTGCTCGAATTTGGTAAATTTTGTTAAAAATATCTCTTGTTTCAACATTTGAAGGTATGCATATTTTCATATTTACAACTAAAGCCTTGGAAATTAACTTCTCTGCTCTTTTCTTAATAGCAACTATTTATGAATAAAAAAACTGACAAATATTGCACACTTATTGTTTATAAAATTATCATGTTCACCAAAAACTTTTTATCTTATACAAATTTCACTAAAAAAAACTATCATAATCAATTTCCTTTGTTTAGAAACAATCTTTCAGATAATAACAAGAGAAGTTTACAATACATGTCTGCTCAGAAGCTCTGACATAGTAAGCTGGGCACTAGTGCTTATAATTTTATTTATCTTCTGGCAATTGCACAAAGCCTATTATACAGCAAATGCAGTCCTATACATCACAATGTCACCACAATAGTGAAACAGATTTCAGAGGGAAACAAAAAAGAAAGGTTAGTCCCTACAGGGGTATGTCCAGTTTCTCAATTCAATCCACTACAGTCTGAGTCAGACAGGAAATCTGCTAAATCCCTACAATAGACTATGAGTTCACAAATCTCCACTTTGAGGTCTGGAGGGCATCACACTCGTAGTCTGGAGACGGTACCACACCCCATTTGAATAAAGAAGCCACGCAGCTTCCATGTCCAGTTCATACGCAGTTTGCTCTCGTCCATATATTGCAAAGCATATCAAAGTCAGAAGGTTTTGGCATCTGTTGAGAAAATTCTGGATTGTAGAGGGAGTGTTAGCAATCCAGTATTTCACCCATTCTGCTTGGATTTGGAAATGGCTTTTGTTTAAGAATGCTGCTGTTTGAATCAATACTTTCAGTAATTTCAGTTTATTGAGCGCGGCATCTTGGATGAAATTGTGCATAGGAAGGGAAATCTTTCTGAAGGGCTCTCTTGTCTCCTTAGGTCAGGGGGAAGAATGTGGCTCTAAGTTGGAAGCTAGTAAACCAGAGTTGACCTAATACATCCAGTTATGGTGCGCAAAGAGTAATTTAGTTGGGTATCAACATGGACATGTAGGCTGTTCAACCATACTGCAGCCCATACTCCACTGCACTGTACAGAAGTCCGAGAGCTGTAGTATGAAGTACTGAAGTAGCAGCCCCCAAGTTGACCCACACCGCTTCAGCAAAATATTGTTTCTAGTACGAGTTTTAGCAAATGTGTTTATCAAGCGAGCTCTATAACTTAAGATGCAGTCAAGGCTTATGCCCAAACATTTTGGTGTCTTATTGTAGTTCACCAAGGAGCAATTGAAATAAATTTTCAGTTTCTGATTGGCCATTTGATTACATTGGTGGAAGCTAGAACATTCCTTCTTTTTTGTACTTGGGGCAGTGTTCATTTGTGATAGTATTCACAGAGAAAGCTTAGGTAGTAAGTATTTCCTCAGATTTCTCAAAGGATGAATGTTGGGTGGCAATCACTAAGTCATCAACATAGGCAAATTTATATGACGTAGTGGGTGGCAAATTCAAAACCATAACTGACATAAACAAATTAAAAAGAATTGGTGCGATGTTGGAGCCTTACGGAATGCCATCTTTCAGCTTCCTTGTCTTGCTTATGTTACTTCCTTTTATAACTGTGACTGTTATATTACTCAGGATGTTATTAATGAGTTCATAAAGGCGCCTATCAGAGAAAATTTTCTGAAACAATTTACACATTAGTCCTTCTCTCCATACTGTACCGTAGGCTGCCGTAAGTTCTGTAAATACAGCAGCTCTCTGAGGCATTTTTTGAAATCCCTGGTAGTGGTAGTGGTAGTAGTAGTAGCAGCAGCAGTTGTAGTTAGACTGAGCAACTGATCGACTCAGCTTCTTCCAGGTCTGAATCCTTATTTTGTTGCTCGATTTATTAAGGAGCAGTCTTTCTAAAAGTTGCTTATAATGAATGATGTTAATTACCAACTAAGTAGTGAATATTGAAATTGTCTCAAATATGGTGTACTCCTTGCCGCATCAAAAGAATAGTTTCACTCATTAAACTCTTCTACAAATATTGAATTTTAGTCTCCTTGACCATAACTTCTTGGCTGTGCAGGTGACACCGCATCGTTGGCTGAGAGGTCTGTCATGCCACAAGTTTCCTCAGGGCAATGACAGCGATGGCTCTAGTTGTTTCGTTAAAATTAAAAAAACAAAAGTTTTTAGCGGCCTTCGCCTTTTGGCGCTCATCCGCCGTGCTTTTGTTTTGTGCGGACGTGAGGCCATGCTTGGCCCGCGCCCCTCTTTTGCGAAGAAATGGTGTTGGTTGGGTTGCGTCGCCGTTAGGCGGCAGGCGCAGTACAACGTAGCGCACGGTGCGGTCTCGCTGAAGGAAGAAATTGAGAGGGAATTTTTTATTCTAAAGGAGATGAGTGGAAGAGGAAGAGTTGAAGGTAGTTTTGTATTAATGACACGGGTACTCCGCAATTTGTTTTTTATTTATGGTGAGCGTAGGTCGGTGGGCATGCGTTTTATACTTGTAGGGGATTTTTTTTTACAGAAATATTATTTGGGAAAAGGTATTTGCTGAAGAGGGGGTCAGCGCTAAGAGGAAAACTTGTAGTGCGGAAGAGGGGCCTTTTATAAAGCCAACTTGAGTGATGCGAATTTGAGAAGTTGCGCCAAAGTGAAATTGTATTGTAAGCAGGCGGCGGCGGCGGCGGCGGGGGCGGTGGCGCCGGCGGGGGTGGCGGTGGTAGTAGTAGTAGTAGTAGTAGTAGTAGTAGTAGTAGTAGTAGTAGTAGTAGTAGTAATAGTACGAATATTTTGGATATCGTGGTATTAGACTAACGGGCCTCTGGGCATAACGCAGTCTTGCGTTTATAATTTGGAGTAGTGCTCTAATTGCCCTGCGCAGATGTTTTAGCAGCTCAGCGATGCTTTTTTCAGGTCCGCTTGCTTTCTTGGTGTTTAATTTTTTTGATTTCCTCGATTTCGTCTTTGGTGAATTCAAAAGTAATTTCAAGACTATCAAGATCTACCGTTGTCGCGTTATAGTCTTGTTTCGAGAGGTCAAGTTTCGTTGACTGGGACGTAGTTTCCGTTTTCTGTATCTTTTTGTCGGGGTCAGTGTGATTTTTTTGTATATTATTTCTGCGAAAATTTCCGTCTTTCTACTTTTGCAATTGAGTCACGTAGGGCGGTTAGTGGTGCTTTTGCAGTTCGCAATGTCTTTTGTACCGTCAGAGCGGTCTTTTATGTCGGCGTTTTTTAGGAACTTGTCCCATTCGTCTACTCCGTGTTCTTTTAGTAATCTTGACACTGCTCGTTTCGTGCGTTGAGTTGTAGCATCTTTGTGCTCGTCTTCTTCCTTGAATTTACAAGATTATCGTCCGAGTAACAGCCTTACGCACTCCAGCAAGCGACGTTATATAGTTGTTTAGTTGTCATTTTAAAAATGGTTACTACTTGTATTGGCATTAGTTTTGTTAATGTGTCGCCAAGGGATTTCATAATCTGGGCTGCTGTTTTAATACACTCAACGATTTTGGATAGATTTAGTTGCTTAAGTAGTTCGAACAGTTCTTTTAGATCGGAGAGAGCGCCTGCGCATTGGCCACCAGTGGTACTTTGCTGTTGTGCGGTTCACTTGCCGCAGGTGAACATGTCAGTGGGAGCTCTTGCTTGTCGCAGGTTCGGAAATGCATATTGAGTCAGAAGTAGGACGTCGGCGCTGCCGGAGGCTGCTTCGCGTTGTTCCTTGAGTTTTTAGAGTTGTAACTGTCTGTTTCCTACTATTTGGACATTGACTTGACAGCCTCTGTAATTAGTTGGGTGCTCTCCATCGCACACTCTCGCGCACTTTGGTTTAGCCGAGGTGTCGGCTAAAGTCGGCGGTGCAGTCAGAAGTGGCGTGTTCTCCGGCTCGTTCCATGCAGCGTGAAGGGCGGCCGCATCCGTTTGTGGTGTGCCCCAAGATCAAGCATCGAGTGCACTGGGGAGTGCTGTCTTTGTCGCGCGGTTCTTCGATAGATTTTGAGTTGCATCAGATAGCGGATGGCTTTGAGCCCTGCTATTTGTTTGTAGTTGATTTCTATGGAGTACATTGCTAAAGGTTCTAGTGTGTCGGATCCTGTTTTTCTTTTTAGTTCCCCTAGGCGATGAACGGTGATGTTGCGCTGTCTGCGTTCGTTGATGATTTCCTCGCGAGGCATGTTCTTGTCTAGTCCTCTTATGAGCGTGTGGCGTCGTTCAGTCTTTCAGTCTGTGGCGTCTTTCAGTCGTTGCTCTGTGGAAGTGGTAGGCGCAGTCGGCTTCTGTTCTTGAGTAGTTGTATTTCCTTGTGGCCTTCAATGCAGCTGAGTCTTATGATCAGTTCGGTGCGTGTCAGCTGTGTCTAATTTGTTTGTCACTTTTGTCTCTTACGTATTGTAGGATGTCGGTCGGATGGTTCATTGCTTTGTCTACAAAGAATGCACCGATATTTCCTGTTTTTGAGCGCTGGGCGTTTGCAGCGGAGTGACGGCATGAGACGTTTGTTGATGTGTAAATTTCTGTCTAGTTTGTTTTCAGTGCAATTTCTATCGCCTTTTCTACTTCGAGGCCCGTGGAGCGGTTTGGTGTTGATACTGGTCTTCTGGAGTCTGTTTAGGGCGGAAAAATGAGGTAACTGTGGTCAAGCTGTCTTGGTCTGCTTTTCTTTGCCGTGAGTCGATTTTGTTCTTTTTTATATTCGGTCGATTTCCTTCGTGTCAGCGCCCTGGGTGACGCGAGAATGCGTGGGCGGGCAACGCCGGTGCGAATTTTGAGGCGAGAGCCGTAAGCTGGCGCAGCTAAGTGTTCCGCGCGGGGCGGAGGGAGCGGGTAGTGCTGAGACCTGACGCCCACGCAGCGACTGGGCGCTCGGGCGGGACGAGTGCGTAGGGAGTGGCGGAGTCGTCCCTCTGATTGGCTAGCGCCAGCCGTCCTCGTGATCGGACGGCGTTGAGCAGCTCCGGACTGCCGCGGATTGGTGCTAATAGGCGTTTCCAGACATGGTTTAGATTGAGACCTGCGCCCGCGTTCATGTGCGACCGTCTATCGATTTCCAGAGTCTCTTTGATGCTAGGCCAGTACCGGTTTTCCCTGGGCAGAAGCCGAGTCTTGTCAAATTTGATGGCATGTCAGTAACCTCGGAGTGGTGCGCTATAGCCGAACGCATGTCGTGGTTCTTAATGTAATGGCTGATATGTTCCCTGAGTCGTTCGGACACCATGCGCTGAGTATGGCCTGCCATAGCTGCAGGGAACATCGTCTACGCCTAACACTGGAGAGGTGGTAATGCGTCCCACGGTGTTGTGAAGCTTGTCGGGTGCCGTAAAAACCTCCCGGATGTTGAAATTCCGTAGTAGTTTTACCACACGATCTGCGGCACTGCGGACGTAAGGAAGCACTGCTAATAGAGCCATATCACTCTATTTTATCTCCGAAGTAGCGTGGCGATCTTCGGCGTTGCCACGACCTACGGAGAGGCCCGTAGGGCACGCAAGCGCCCGTTTAATCGCAGTCCGGCAATAGCTGTTACCCCTGAACGTAAGTTCGAGCTTCCAGCCAGAAAGACAGCGCTTGTCGCATACTTTCACAGCTCTTGTGGTCAGTGTCTTCAACATTCCTAGTTTTCTAGACGGATGGTGATGCGAACCCGCATGGAGGTATCTGTCCGTGTGGGTCGGTTTCCGGTAGACCGAGGTATCCCCAGGTGCCACCTTCCCATTAACTGAGGAGGACGTCCAAGAAAGGCAGGCCCGCGTACATTTCGGTCTCCATAGTCTGAACTTAATGTTGTTGTGGATAATAATGTTGTTCAGGAAAAGTAGAAATTCCTTTAACAATTCCGGTCCGTGTGGCCAGATTACAAACGTGTCGTCCTTATAAGGAATCCAGAGAGACGGTTTGTGTGGGCGTTCCGTAGAGACTGTCTCGAACGCTGCAATCAATAAATTTACAGCGATGGGTGACAGCGGCGAACCCATAGCCGTTCCTTCCACTTGGACGTCGAAGCGGTCTTGGTACTGGAATAAAGTGAAATTTAGGCAGAAGGCAGACAGTTCCGCCCATTCTGTCAGCTGGCTCCGATCCTGTAGTTTGTCGCATCACTTCCACGGCCTCGTTCACCGGCTCCGAGGAAGCCTATGACACGACAGGCGCAACTTCGGCCTCTCAGCCATGGACACGGTGTCACCATGACGGCCAAGAAAACATGGACTCGAGCCACGGAAGCTTATGGGTAGCTTGACCATACTTTTATGTAGCATAAAAGTATACTCTTGTTAATCTTCAGTCACTTGATTGACCCAAGATTTGTAACACAATAAAAGCATAACTTTTTTCTTAGAATTCTTTTTTTTGCCCTAGCTGAGGAGTCTTCACACTTTAGCTTGTGTTTGCTAGCAAAGCGGTTTTTAATTATCGTTAATAGAGAAGGGAGAATACTATGCTTCCTGACGTGACAATGTGGGCTTTACACAAAAACTATTTCAATGGATATTGAATTTTTATTGAAAGTTCTGTTAATCTTGAAATTTTATTAACTTTAGCTCAGGTCTTTTTACAAGCTTTGAAGCTATAATATAGTACATTCAGCATGGATTTTCTTTTTTTTCCGTTCTTAAAATTCCACAGCTTAGACCAGATTTGAATCGGTGAATAATCCTACCTACTAAAGCTGAATTTAACCATTTAACCATGGAAAGAAATTCTGTTTGTGTCAGAAGTATGCTCTATGTAACTGTAATGTATGTTTAAGAGCCTAAATAAATTATTTGAAATAAATGTATGAATACCTACTTCTGGGCAAACTGCACTAGATTTCTTCTTTTCGTGAGCAAAGGCTGCTGGTCCTTTCCACTTGTAGAGACTTAGCAATTCACACAACACTCGTGTATTGAATGTATGGATCTTCTGTGTCCTGTTGATCCCTGATGTTTCCACCAATTTTGTGCGTAAAGTAGTTATTACAAATATTACTAAATTGAAAGGATCGTACATCAGCCCTCGAATAATGCTAGTCAGAATCACTGCAAAAACCAAACAAGAAATGTATATAACCTTAAGTTATTCCCTTTGTTATGCTATTAATATCTAATTCACAATAACTTTATCAATAAAGTAGATTACAAAATATATGGCAGCTCCATGAAGACTTTTTTTTTAACAATTGGGAAATAACTAACAGAGCAGCATTGTTATAAAATATTCCTATTTCAGTAGATTGAGTGTTCATATTGATAAGTTTGCAATTCATCAGAAAAAAATGTATAATTTTAATCAAGTCAAAAGCAATGATCAAAATTTCTGGAAAACATAATTAACTTGGATAAAAAACAGGTTGACATAACAAAACAAGTAGCATAATTTTTCATCAATTTGTCACAAATCACGACAACTTACCCTGTGACATATGGCAATGAACATGTTAATGAATATTTTAAAATTCAAAAGTCTTCAAATTTATGAGTCCTGGAGTTGAGATGGAGTAAAGACTTAAAGAGCTTATTATGTAAAGTATTAATAAGAATATAATAATTTATTTTCTTTATTGCATACAATATGAAATAAAGTGCCATTGAATGAAGTGAATGAATGACATTGAAATGAATTAAATTTTATGGAATGAAATGTAATATGCATCATCTGCAATAGGTGGAAAATAAAACAAGATAAAAGGAGTGTTCAGTCTTTTATAAGTAGTCGGGAATGTAGTCTTTTGATTTTAATTTATGACCGCAAGTGAAAATCATAGTAATTCATACTTACAGCGTTTGTCCAATAGAAGACTAATTACACTTGAATTTCCTTCCACTAGAAAGGCCAGAAGAAACTGAATGAAGCAGATACGGACACTTTTGGGATCATCTGGTCTGATCAATCTTACAATATTATCAACTACATCTGTACTAAAGGTTATGTAACTTAAAACATCTCTGGCCAATGTAGTATTCAATGTAACAACAGCTGAAACAAAAAATTCCTGAATAGTAAAAAATTTAACTAGTTCCATACCATTAATAAATATTCAACACCAGATTTCTTTGATTTTTTTATAACTGTACCAAAAAATAAATAACTTGAGTAATAATGAACAATTAACAAGAAATTCAATGCATGCAACTTGTATGTGAGTTTATATAATACTGTATGTGAGTTTTGGTATCTGCTTGTGACAAAAGACAAACGTCCTCTTCTTGGTTCACATTCCCATTTTCCATTGGGAATCTGTTATAATTGAGTTCACGAAAAAGGTCACACTAAAAATTTAGACAGATTTTTCTTTTACAGTTGTTTAGTGCTCATTGTGAGATTATAACTTCGGTTTTATAACTCCAATCAAAAGAGCATAGCATTTGATGGTAGAAAATTTTCAAAAGTTGTTAACATCACTATTTTGAAATGTTTATTCATTATTGAACTAATTAATTAAAATGTTCGCAAGAGATCCTGGACCTCAAGAAAAGGTGCACAGGTGGTACTTTTCCTCCATGTCACATATAATTTTTACGGTTCATTGACTAAATAAATCTGAAGTAACATTGGAAGCAGTTCCTGTGGACAAGTTGAAGAGTGGAGTGCACCAATGTAGAATTTTTGTTTTGCTCATACTATTAAATTTCAGATATGCATCTTTATCACTTATATTTTTTCCCTTCAGTATCCTGAGAAACATGTAAGTGAAATATATATAAAAGAACGATTCTCTCATTTCAAATCATGGAATGTAATCAATTTTATGATTATTCTGTTGCAATGTTGTGTCAAGGGAATGATTTCTAATGGCAACTGTGCTGTAGATTATTTCTCCTGAGTTGTAGAATTTTGTACTTGGGAGTGTTGAGGAGAAGCCATGTTTCCAACCACTCATTTACCAGCTTAAGTTCAGATTGTAGTGGCTGGTAGTGTTTTATTTGGTTAGTTAATTACCTGGTGTAATTGGCATTACATTTCTAGTCAGGAGATGGCCCATCTCTGATGTTACTCACGCATAAGACAAATAATAGCAGTTCTAAGACTGATCCTTTAGGAACTCCATTAGTAATCTTCCTCAGTGATGAGAGTTTACTGCTAATGTTCACCTGAAGGTTCTGCCAAAATTTTGAACTCAGATCTATTTGAGCAATTTTCCTTGCATCCTGAAAGATCTGAGCTTACAAAGTAATTGGTTGTGTGGGACTTGGTCAAATGCTTTTGCATAATCTACGTAGATTATGTTCACACGTTGACCTTCATCAAGAGCTTTAAGCTTACTCTCTTGACATTAGTTATAGAGTAGTGCATGTAAATACAGTTTGTGTGTGTGTGCGCGCGCGCGTGTGTGTAAGGAGAGAAGAATGGCAAGAATGAGGAAGGGAAGTCTATGACCTGTTTATTAGGGTGTTTCCTTGGAATACACCTGAGAATGATTAGAGAAACTGCGGAAAGTTACTAATCAGAGAACTCTAGAATTCTCATCAGAGACTCTAGAATTCTCATCCAAACAGCAGCTGAATTCAACCTAGCAGTATAGCTAGTGTCGAAAATCTGCTATTGTTAGGACTCGAAACTAGGACTTGCAAGTCAGAGACACTGCAGACACAATGGTGATGCTGGTTCTCGGCTAATCTTCATAATTTCCGTGTGTGAGTATGTATTCTGATGAAACTGGATTTATCAATACTAACAATTCATATTTTTCTTATCACATTGTAGCTTGGTTAAAATTTAATTTGATTTATTTTAAATGAAATAAATTGGTAAAAACTGTATGTGACATGTGGAGAAGTATAGTCCGTGCAAGTTTTCTTGAGCTCCAGATTCTCCACTCACACTTTTACTTTATACAGTTGAAAAAATAATAAATGTACCAACAAAGTGACTGGCTTAGGCGGCTCAGGATATCAATTGATGTCACTGTAGTGCCTCTGACCAGGAGATCCTAAGGTTCCAAGACCCGCTGATGGTATGATTTTTGATTTTAGTGAGGTTAGAAGCTAGTTAGCTGGGTTGAGTTCAGCTGCCTTCTGGAGAAGAATTCTAGCAGCAGGAGGCTCTGATTGACAGTTTTCTGTGATTTCTCTAATCAACACTAGGCAAATGCTGGAGAAGTTCCTTAACACACATTTTTTCCTTTTTCTTCTCACTCTCACACTCACATTTATATGCACTACACTACCACACATTGGGAGCTTAGAGCTTGCCCTCGTTGGGGCAAGATGGGATGATGGGAGATGCTTGGTTGGTGAAACTCCCCATGAGCTAACATGTAGTTTGGAGCCAGATCTCACAATTCAGTGGGAGATCATTGCCACCTCCCACAACAAAAGACATGCACCATACTTATAGGACTAATGATAGATAGCCTGGTATCACTAATCAATCAATTAACAAAGTTTAAGTAGCAACATTTGAAAACTAGAAACATTTTGCTTTCAAGTAATAGAAAACTTAATACAATCACTTCACAAACAACAGATTTTTCTAGAATTGGTAACAAAATAGCAACTTACACCCATAGTTCTACTCCACTCTACCACAACTAGCTAATGGAGAGTTCAGCAAATTTCCACATAGTAAAGATCATTTACATGCAGAAGCAAAATTAGGAGCCATCTTAGCATTTGTTTAGTGAATCAAAAGAAACCATGTTTACTTTCAGCACACTTAAACATTTCTAGGTAACCTACCAGTCAATAACTGCAGCACAACCTTTTTATGGTGAGCACTACTCTTAACACTCAGTAGACGATGAATACTACTCAAGTGACTACTAAGAAGGTGGTGGCACATTTCTTCAGCACTTTTATGACATTCAGGAGCTTTTGTCAGCACTCTGAAAAGAAACACCAAGTTGTTCAGAAAACTATTATGAACATATCGTAAGAATTTTATGATGATTTCTACTGTCTGATCCCATAATAATTAATATTTTTATGATTGAATGACCTTGTGGATTAATTAGTTAAAAGAAAATCTCAGCTAATTCAATTTATCACATTGTGAATATTTCATCTGTACACAGGTTGACCACTTCGACACCAGAATATAAATCAAGTAATAAATAAAAATACTGTATCGGGAGGCCACTCATTTCCTGGACAAATTTCTTTAACTATTCCGGGATTCGCCGAATATTTTTTAAAATCTTTTCCTGATTTCTTTATTTTCGCACTATTTAAATGAAAAACTAAAGCCAGCCTGGTACTAATTAGTCAGCTCTCTAATTTCACTATGGGGAGGTACAAATTAACAAAATATTTTCAAACAAAAAATTGAGCAAAAAATTATGTTGTACTAATTAATATAATGAGTTGTACTAAGGAATATCTAGTTTTATAAGCCTCTGAAAATGTTCACTGACTTCTAATGATTCTTCTACAAATACCCTTTTTTCCCCCCATACTTTTCCAGGGTAATGAAATTCCCTGATTTTTATGTCTTTCATGTTTTTCAGAAAGCGGCTACCCTGTCAATAAGTTGAGATCTTTAATTAATTGATCCACAAGGTCATTCGATAACATAGAAAGTTTGTTTATAAAGAGACACTGATGAAAAATACGGTATATTTTAGCAATTATTCATTAATAAGACAGTTTAAACCTTAACTCCACCAAATGAATAAGGAAGAGTAGTTATAAAAGGAATTCCCTTCGTATTGTCTTAGGCTATACAATTAAAGAAGGATTTTAGGAAAAGTGTTTTTAATGTTGAACACATACATAAATTACTGTGCCATGACAGGCTAAAAACAAAATCTTTAAGAGCTGGTAAATATTAAAAGCAAAAATGCTTATGTATCTTTATGTTCCTTGTAAAAATGATTCTGAATTGGACATGGAAATGATTTTATTGACAAAAAAACAACAACAAAAAACAGAGGGTACAATGAGTATTGTGAAATGATTTAAAGTTAAGGTTGTAATATGTTTGCAATTTAAATATTTTGATTCACACACAAATAAAATTTTTACTGTGTATTGATAAGTATAATTTGATATATTGTGCAAAGTTTGAACAATGTCAGTCAATTCATTTTTCGTTATTGATATTATTGTTAAATTTTGTAGTTTGAAATAACAAGATCATAGCAAATAATTTTTGCTCTTTTTTTTACAAACATTTGTTACGCCATCTCAATAAATATTTAAATAATTTGAACTAAAGAATTTTGTTTTCAATAAATGTTGTTCATAACAGAATTTTGTTTAAGTCAAGAAAGATAATTTCTAATCACCTTCAGTTTAACCCACAAAAAGTTAATTCTCATACTACTGACAAAATCATTTATTAGCACAATTTTTTAATAGTATATTTTGTTACAACTCTTGAGAATTTCTTTGCAATCTAATAGGAATTGTTCTGCAGCTTTTTTTAAATACAAGAAAATGATCTAAAATTGAAATCTCAGAAAACAGCATTTAAAGATTTCAAAACACATACATATTTCCAGTCTGGCCATGTCTTTTCTTTTATACAATTGTATAACCTTCAAAAATTGAGGAATGCAAAAATGTAACTACTTTCTAGTAGAAAAAGAACAGGAGTTTTCTCTACTCTAAACCCCAAAAATTCAGAAAAATTGCTAAATTTCAGTTATAAGGCACTTCAAACAGTTTACAGCAGCACCAGAAAACAAAAACCACTTACCGTAAAAGAATAACTTGTAGTGCAGAGAACACAACAGAAACATGAGAAATGTCATGATCATGTTTAGAATCTAGAATTCTGAGAATGTCCATCACCTGTCCTCCTTCTTTGAGGTATTGTGCAGCAGGGTCATCTATGCCTTTTGCTCCATGACAGGCTTTTACAAACTCTTCAAGAGCTGGTAAACATCAAAAGTGAAATTAGAAAAGAATTGCCTTGAGATACATACAGAAGAAAATGTTAAGTAACAGATATATTTTTGAAAATAATCTTTAACAATAATTATAAATGTTAATTGTTATAAATAAGTTCTAGTACAACACACACACACACTTCCATTGTTTGTTTTGATACAGACAATATATGCACCTCAACTACACTGCAAGCAGATATCTTATAGTTTTTAACAATTAATTAATTGTAAAAACCAAGAAGCAAAGTACATTGCAGATCCATGTTTAAAAAAGTGTAGTTATTTACACAAACCAAAATAATACATACCTTCATAGCATTCGGCTTTCTTCAGCTTTTTGCGAAATGAGGAGACGCAAAATTCAAGACGTTTCTTTTTAATAGGGATTGTTTCACTTATTTCTCCGTTTTCGCGTTTATAAGGATTGTTTACTTGGACAACCATCTTGGAATATTGCTAACGTATATTCATTTAAACGTTGCCTTTACACTTAACCGATATTTAAAAGTAACCTATGTTTTAACCCCCCCTTCAAGTTTCAACACACGTGTACTCTCTGTAATCTGGCGCTCAGCATGTGCTGAAAGGATACATGCGTGGTATCGTTCGTGAGCCAGTCCCAGTCTGTACGTGTGTATATGATCATTCGGTCTTTTCACTCTACTATACTATCCGATAGTACTTAATACCTCTATGATACTATCCATATCACGGTGTAAGAAATATCTTACGCCGTGTGTATACTATACTATCCATACTCTCTTGTATTAAATATTATTATACTATTATTATAAAATTATTACACTATCAGCGCCACTTTCTCGCTTATTTCGGAAGCTTCGGAATTCGCTTCAGGAATTTCGCGTATTAATTCTTTTCGTTTATAAAGTGTGATTTAACATGTTTTGTTTAAAAAGTCTTTAGAAAAAACAATGGAGTATATATTATATACGCGCATGTTTTTGTGAGCCCCGGCCAAATATGTTTTAACTACACTAGATTGCAAACTCGACCTTCCAAAGTAAAGCCGGTGCGCCATTATTATTATATTATACTAATTAATATAATATATAACATCATCATATAGTATATATAGTAACTATATATTATATTATATATTTATAATATAGTAGTAATACCACACACACACATGACATTGAACTGGTCGATTTCGTTCACGAACGATGAGTCAAAACTAGGTACAATCGGTATGGGTAGCATTTGAAATAGCATGGCAAAATAGAGCAAAGGCGGTGGTTAGTGTTCAACGTATTTGCTTTTATGTTATGAAGAGTTGGTTACCATAATTTATCATGGACAAAATTCTCAGAAGTTCTTCGCCGTATGTTAATACGGCTGTCATGGATGAGTTCCTTAACGTAACAGAAAAATCTGCTAAAGCTAGGAAAATATTTTGGTACTTGTTAGGAAACTCTGTAGTTTCTTGTATTCTGCTTTATGACACGTGAGTTCTAAGTTATATTGCCAGTGTACCTTACTTGATAATATTTGTTTCATTATTTAATCTTCAATTGTTCTCAAAGGTTGCAAGTTTGCCCTGATTACTCATTTTGGGTTAGAGTACTTGGTGTAACACTTACTGTTGGATTTTGTCTGAATACATTATTTCATGTATATTTGTATTACCAAGCCACAGCAAGTCTTAATCCTGTAGCAATCACACCTTCTGAGAAAAGTCTATTAGGTGTTAGTGATGCAGGTAAGTTTACAAATCTTTGGAATTATTTTTTCCTTTTTGGCTTTATGTAACTTTATTTGTCAACTAGATACGCACTTCAAGATATCTACCCCTCTTCGATCTTCCAGTCCAGTTTCTTCAACCTCTGGATCAGCTACTCCAATAAATTTATCTGCTGTGAGTTGGCTTTCTACTGGCTCTAGCTCTAGTCCAGGTATGTGTTATTATACATATTATCCATGTGTATTCAAAAAGTATATTTACTTTGTGGATTTGTGTGACCTGATTTAATATTCCCATTAGAAGAAATAAAGTCTGTATTTTATACTCTAGTTTATAACTTTGAATATCACTTCTAATTAGAATGTGCAATCTGATCAATATGTTATTTAGATATTACAAGATTAGATTATGTATCTTTCACCAAAAATCTATGATTCTGAAATGTGGAGTCATACACTGATATTTAATGGAAGAGTTACAGCTTATGTTTGTAACAGATAAGTGAAAATTACATGGATAACAGTGATTGCATCCTACTGGCAATTAAGGCAATGTTTATTTATACTTTTATATTGTATTTGAACAAAACTGTATAGAAGTGAAATAAATCACTAAAATCTGCACATATGTCGAATGTCTTGAAATTTGTCAATTAACTAATGAATTACTCAATTTACTGCATGTATTGAATTGTAAAGCTGTAGAACTTGAATATAACTGATAACTGTTTTCACAGGAAGTCATACCCTTACCTTGTAGGTCCAGATTTTATTTTATGTGAAGATGAACTTTATTTCTGTTTGGAATTGCTGAAATGCCCTCTTAGAACAAACTCATTGTTTTTGCTTTTTAATTTTCATGTTTAAAATGTTTGTATGTATTATAAATGTATGCCAGACTTATACTGTGATTTATGCAGCTCTGCCCCTGGCAAGTATCAGCTATTGATGGTGTCATTGAATCGGGAGCTTGAATGTCACCATAGTGACATCACTATGGTGATGTTCAAGCTCTCGATTGGATGAAACTGTCAACAATTGGCAGAGTTGCAAAAATCGTAGTATAGCATTGTTGCTGAACCAAACAGTTTTCTTTAACAAACCATTATATGAATAAAGGCTTTCATTTTTGATATGAAATGGCGGTCTTTAGAGAACATTTGAGGAATAATACATCAGAGTTTTTACTGAAGCATTGAAAGAACAGGGTGTGAATTTTGTTACAAATATTATCAGGGTAAAAAAATGCACTGGAAAACTGCGGAAAGTCAGAGAAATTTGTTCCAAGAAAAGAGCGGCCACCTTGAAGAAATGATTTTAATGTTTAAAGTATTGTCCCATGTTGGTAAAACAATTGAAGTGTTGATTGAGCTATGAGGAAGTCAGTGTTTCTTTGTAGTATTACTTGTTTTCATTTTTAACATTTATCTTTAAGTTTTGTGAATATTTTTCAAATAACTGATATTTTGGCGATTGTAGAGTTTTTGTATTCTCTGCTCTTCTGAATAGGATTTAATAGCAACATGACAATGTCTGCTGCATCGTGGGAGTACCTACCAAATATATCAAGATGTGCATCATTTTCAAAAGGATCACAGGACAATTCTCAACTAACTCCAAAATTATTTGATTTAAACAATTTTTCTAATTCATCAATTGGATTGATTGATAATGAGGATTCATTATCTCGCTATTTAAGTGAGTTTGAGGAGTATGAGAAGAGTTTTGGTAAGCATTTTTTCTGAATATTGATCATCTTTAATGAGTGTATTTATTGTATTAGAATATTAACAATACCTGGAAACAAAGTTCCATATGTTGGCTCTAGGTTTATCAAAATGTGGAAGCAAAGTGTATGTATGTGTACAATTTGCAAAATATTTTTGATACTAGTCTGGGTCTGGCTCAACATGACTATTTCAGGAATTCATGTAGTAACTATAGTAAACTCTAGGAATCCAAACATGCCATGCTGAGCTAGGCTTTGATCCAAAGTATAAAGAAAAAATGCAACAATACTATGTAAGTTTACAGTTAATCTGTGCCTTTGTTTCAAATAATTTTGTAGGTAATACAAGTACATTTATTTGGAAGTTGTATTCTTGCAGGTATGCGTAAAGAAGACAATGATAATAATTTCTTTGTAATTTGACCTGTCCTGTTACACAAGTTTTTTTTTTAAGATTGTGATGGAATATATTGATAATGTGAACTTACAAAATGAGAAATGTGGTTGAGTGCTCTATTGGTTGATATTTGATGCCTTTGCGAAATGTTTGATTTCCAGAGCAGTCCACAAATGCATTGTGGAAGAATTCCTCAGGAAGGTTCAAAGTGGAAAGTCCAATTCTGAAAAGCTGTAATTACCTATATTCTACCCCATCGCCAGGTACCAACTAATTCGTCATTCTTCATTTAATTATCTTTGTGTATTACTTTTGGTCATAAACTGTTCTTTATTTTATAGTTTTTGACAGCATGTTAATTCTTATCAGTAGATTTTTACTTTCTTCCCTATTTGCATAGTAAAGAGAAAGTATTTTAATTCTGTAACGGTAAAGGGTGAATTTTTTACCATAAAACTCTCATTGTTGGTCCCTGATATTGAAAAAATGGTCAAAGCTTGCACCTAAAGTGTTGTGAATTATCTTCTGTAATGTGTTTAGTAGTTCCATTATATTCTCCCGCTTCTATGGTTTAATGGTTAGTGTATTGGGCTTGATTTACTGAAGTTTGTGGTTTCATACCTGATCAAAACAGTGCATTTTTTAAGTGCAAAAAAAATCCTTCATATGCATTCCTTTGGAGAGGAAGTAAAGCAGGCTTTCTCATGTTGTAGATTTACTGCATGTAAAAGATCCTCAAGCATAAAAGAAGTCCCTGAGTTCAATTCAAATCCCCTGTTCTGTTCAAATCCCTGTTGCCGTCTTTCTCCACTAGATGGAGAAAGGGCCTTGGCAAAATTTGCATTGTCAGACAGCAGAAAAGGCCTGATGACTTGTCTCACCATGGAAAAGAAGGCAACATTGAATTGAATTGAACTTTTTATAAAGGTTTTTCTGTTTTAGTTAGTGAACAATATGTAAATGCCTTTGACTATACGCAAGTTATTTTTGCCTCTCAAAAGTCAGGGATAACTCTACATGGAGGATGGGTTTGGACAATTGTTTCCTTTTCCATCAGACTCCTTGTTTCAAGAAGCATCACATTTCCGAGGAAAGTACAAATGTGAAAGAATTTGCTTAACATACCTTTAGTTCAAAAGGTCGGTCCGTGATGGATCCTGGAATTGAAACTAGCAAAAAGGGAAAAGTCTCTAATAAAAATCTGAATCCTTAGTGACCACCATCCTGAGACCAGTAATACAAAAATAAGTTAAGATGTATTGTTTGTGTGAAAGATGGAGTTGTTTGAGCAGAGTGCATCATGTTGGACAAAGGAGTGTGTCCCCCTCTATGAACCATATCTTCTCAGAACTGACCTTGAACAAGGCAATCTACATTCCCACTGTTCCCCTGAGTCATGATAATGAAAATAAGTTAGGGATCTGATAGAACTCAATACATTTCGTTTCTTTATAAAAGATACTACATTGGTGAAGTCTTTGTGGAGAGATTTTCAGAATTATTCTGTTTTGAATTGGTGATAATTTATTCTTTTAAAAACTTATTGAAGCATAATTTTCCTTTGTTTATTATAGACTGAACATTTTTATGTGTTGCCAATCAATGTGAAATGTCATTGTTATTTATGAATTTCAGTACAGAAAACTGGCTCTTCAGGTGATACTCCTGATGAGCTGATGAATTCGTCAGCTTTGAAGAATCCCCTTGATGTGTGGGGCCGCTTTGGGGTAGACCGCACTCTGTTGACTCAATGGAATTCTAATCTTCGCAGGGTAAGTTGACAATCTTAATTAGAGAGTTTGTTGAATTTAACGGTTCAACTGGTTTTCTTTTCTTCCACACAGTGTTTGGTTATTTGAGAAAGCTTACAAAGGTGTGCACTGGTTATAATTCCACAAATGCAAGATGATGTGCTTCAAATTCTTTGAAGGAATGATGCATTCATGTTCCAACTTTAGAAAATGAGTAGATTAGGAATAGAAAAGTTTTAAAATATTTTGGAGGGTTACTCGTGTAAAATGAACTTTAAAAGTGATTTGTCTGTAACGCTTGTGTGAAATTACAATAGTGAAGCCTGCTAAAACACTCGCTCGGTTTAAGCAATAATCTCCCCTAATGGCCCTTTTTTTTTTTTCTCCCCCAAAGAACTGATTGATTTTCCTGCTAGATACATGTTAATATTTCCTGTTTCAAGCTGTCATCTGCCTCTGTGGTCAGGGACCAGATATTTAGATTAACTAGGTCACAACATCCTCCGAATTACCAATTTTGAGCAGTAATGTTACAAGACGAGGATGACTAGTGGAAAGTAGGTACTATTATTTCAATATCTTTCTATGTCAGGACACACTGTCAGATTAGGTAGAACACTATTATTTTGTGTTGTTTTCTTGTAGAAAGACAGTTTGTTTTTGATGCTGTTTTTATGCATGCTTTCAACTTTCCTCAGAGTGTGCATTATAGCTCCAAGTCTAGTTGGTAAATCAAGTTTACAAATGGGAAGAAACAATCGGTATTGTAAAAAAAGAAGAGTGCAAATACGAGGCTATTATTGATTTTGTACAGTTGTAGTGTGCTCATACCAAACACTTCCAGTAATTTGTAAATGAAGTGTAATTGAAAATAACAAGCATGACATACTTCACTTCACAGCAAATACAATAATTATGCGGGATGTTCATTTCAGGTATTTTCAAAACCTGTAGTAGGTGCCTTCCTGATTGATTGAAATTGATTTTTTGCAACTGGGCAAAACCTTTTCTCTTCCACTTATGAGAAATTAAAAAATATTCTTCCAAAAGATACTCTATATAAAGATTTTATTTTTATTAATTGGTCTAACCTCACCAAAGTGACATCTTGTTCTGCCTTTTGTGATTTCACATCTTCATAAAAATTTTCTTTATCATTCAGTGTATTTTGAAGGTCATTTGTATACCAGTAGTTATATTTTGGCAAATTTTCCAGAAGTAATCAGTTAAGTTTCTGGAAGCTCTTCAGTTTCTTTTTGTTTACATCAATTAGTTATATCAAACGTTGTTTAAGCTGAAGCAGCTAATGAATTGTTTTTGTTCCATGATGAATTTGGTTGGGGTTACTGATAGGCTGATTATACTTTTTATTGATTCCAGTGGATTTCAGAGACGGTTCTGGAGCGAATAGTTCGTGAAATAGATGCATTGGACCAAACATTTCAACGATCGGGTCTTGCTGATATCAAGATGGGTGGAGTTGGTTTGGAACGCCTGAAAAAGACTGTGCAGATGGCTCAAGTGTCTCAAAATATGCCTACTTTTCCTTTGCTTGTGCGCTTCCTTGAACTTAGTTCCAATCAGGAATATCTTGTCACTAGAATAAGAGGTTGGTATTCAGTGTATATATTAAGTGATAATGTTTAGGCCAGCTGATACTTTAACTAATTACTTTATTAGAAATTTGGATACGATTGTAATGGGTGACTCATCTTTGTCAACAACTGTGAGCTTTACTTTCTCTTGAAACAAATGATACTGTGGGTTTTCTTTGCTGAATAAAATTTATATTTCCATCCATGATTTTTATTCTATGAATCTAGTGTTGTAGTGATTTGGAGATGGTAAAGATCTGCGAAAAATGTTTTTGTGCTGTCTTTTTCATATATAAATAAAGCTTTCATAAGAACATGGATGTGGAGAGCACCACTTTAATGTTGTTTATATATTTTGTAAAATGTTAATACATTTCTTGGATTGTTTTACTTGAACTAATCAAGTCAGAAATTTTAGTTTTGAATTGAAAAAAATAGTTATAATTTTTCTTAGTGGATGCGTAAAGTTTTTTGGGGGGATATAAAATTGAATTTATTGATGTGAACTGTATGTGGCTTCTTTTTAATAGAGAAAGTATTTAGGTTTAGATCAACATTTCTCTCTGAATTTTCAGTGACAGGACAATTATGTACTTCTGAATATGCAATTCAGTGTCATTTTTCTGGAAAACTTTGCTCTTGGTTGCTTTAGGTCAATGTATTGGTTAACCATGATACCAAAATCTTAATTAAAAATGCAGGTAAGAATTTTTAAAACAATGAGTAGTACGAATGAGTAGAAAATGAACAGTTAAGAAATGCACATTTGCTCTATGCCGTAATTGCTCATTCGTAACATCAGTGCTGAATGTCATATGTATGATTCTTTAGTATGTTGTATCAATCATTTGTCACATGAAGCTCAATTTATAACTGCCACAAGCTACTCAATTATAACTGATAATAAATCACATATTGAAATTTTGTTGGTGAAGTGTCATGCATGTCATATCATCAGTTCTCCATTGAATTGTACTTACTGAAAAATCCTGACATAATAGAGAGAAATGGCAAATATATTTTAAATAGCAGTGTATAGATCAGTGCTTGTTAGGGAACCTGTGGATCAATACTTATACATGTCATTCAACTCTGTTATTACAGCACACCAATACTAGTCTTAACTTAACTTTTTATGGTTTTCCAGGTTGTTCGAACATTATTTGGAACATACTCTATTTGCATTTACAATAAATTATGTGCATTTGTAAAAAGTTATTGTGGTCAACCTATGGTAGTCAGGGAATCACCCAACTTTTGAACTTGTTTGCCAAATTGAAAAATCTAAAGTTAGATGGGTTGACGACATTTATTTAACCTTCCTGAAGCTTGGGCCTAATGAATGAGCAACAATAATCTAGTGAATGCTTACCACGTTTTTCAGGTAAACAACACTTGCTAGCACATTCAGAAGTACTTAAATTGTCCTATACCTACTAAACATTTGTCCTAAATAAACATTCAAACACAAATATTTTCTTTGTTAGATGAATGGTTTATTCTCAAACTGTTTTGGCATACCTTCTTGAAATGTGTGTTGACATGGAGTTGTAGTTGGGGAAGACACACAGCATGAAATCCAGATGTTTTTATGTTTTATGTTTTTCTGTGCTCCAGTCAGGAGATGGGGATTTCATTGTGCTGACAATTTGTAAAGTCTAATGTGTTCTGTTGTGATTGCTAGTGAGAGCATTCCCAACATTAGTTTCAGACTTTTTGCACAAGGTCATGAAGTCATAGATACGTCTTCACTGGCACTTGTTAATTAACATTGTTGGGGAGATATTTTCCATAATATCACCACCATTGTGAAATTGTTTCGGCACATTAGATGTCTGTTATTGATTGGACTGCATTCTCAAAATGTGCCTTCAGTTTAATGACTGTGTTTACAGGCTGGTCACACATGCTGTTTTCTTCTGCAGGGCTGATCATAGAGGAAGGGTCTGATAATTAATAGATGTGACAACATTAGAACATAATATTACAATGTTATACAGAGCAAGTCAGAAAGTAATTTGTGATGTTCATTTTCAGAACTTGCAAAAGGAGGTTGTATGAGTGAATTCCGCTGGAATGGAGGAGGAAAACTTCATGGGAAAGATTGGGATGAACACTTACCTACAGATGCTGCAGTAAGTGAAGTTTTGTGATCTTACTTGTCAATTTAGTTGACTAGTCATACACAACTTAATGCCTTTCATTTTCTCCAGCTTGTTATGTATTTGTTGGCTACATATTTGGATACTCAACTACCACCATTACCGCACAATCCTGAAGGGCAGCCATTCACTTCTGAGTACCTTATAAAAGCCCCAAACAAAGTGCCCCCTCGGAAAAACTCTCCAATTATACAAGAAGTTCAAATGAATCCTCCACACTTTGTCATTTTTGTCAATGGGCACAAGATTGACATTGGAAAGGTAAGTATTGGAGTGAAAATGTGTATATGTTTGTGCTCTTTTTTTCTTTTTTCTCTCTCTCTCTTCATGCAATAATGGTGCTACAGCAGCATATACTACTTTTTCACATTATTTGTAAGTTACTGGGATTTGTACAGGAATACTTAGGTTTTGGAAGTCTGTGAGCTAAGTAGGGTCTTCTTTAATTAAGCTGCTACGATGAATTCTTAATATAGCAATGTTTCTGATACCTATGTAAGATGCAAAATTACCACAAAGCTGAGTATGGAGAACTACTAAGGCTTTGAGAAAATAACCTGTTCAAAAAATGATTTAAAGATCTAATGTAAAGGAACTAATTGTAGTAAGAAATAAATATCTTAATTTCAATATTGAAGGTGTAGGTGACATTTGAAAGAAAAGTTTATTTTAAATGAACATAAAATGACAAGTTACTGGCATTAAAATGTACAAAAATCATGATAGAATTAAAATAAAACAGTAGCACTCAGTATAATTACAATTGTATCTTAATTTTTGATTTTTGTATATTTTAATTATAGTAACTTCTCATTTATGTTCGTGAAAAAAAAAAAATTCTGTAATGTTCCTTGGAGCCTGAAGACGAGGAAAAAACATGATCCTTGAAACATCATTAAAAGAGCTTTGTGAATTAAGAATAGAACTTGTGTTATTGTGACTAAATATAAGTACCACATCCTGTGTTTAAAGCATTTAAGAAAGTAAATTAAATCCAAGTAATATTGCATAAAAACCATCTTTGCTGCAATTTATTAACCGTGTTTTAATAAATGAAAAATTGACATGCATTTCATTGAAAAGAGAGACAAAAGTTATAAAAGGAATCTCAGTTTCATTTGTACAACAATAATAGAGAAGGAAATATTGTTTCCAAAAGTTGCAAAAATGCAATATTTGCACTGTACAACAATGCTGCATTGGGTCAAACAAAGTGCTACATATCAAAAACTAGTTCATCTGTCAAGCTGCTACTTTACCAAAGTGCCTTTCAAGCAAGTGGAACATGGCTTACAAAATTTCATCAAAATTCATGGTAGCGGAGTATTGTTCCAAAGTAGTCGAAATTATTCTTTTTGCATCTCCAAACCTTTTCACTTCACATGTTAAAAATACACTTCAATTCAAAAATGGTACAAGGTAGCACGTTGTCCAGGGCCACCCAAGGGACAGTTCCCACCAATGGTTTCACCTCATTCGCAAATTTGTTTGTTTTGTCACAGTTAATATTTCTCTAAAGGAATTCTCTATACAAATTAATGTATGGGCTGTTTCCCCAACTACTGTTGCTTTTTTTATTTACATATTTTTCCATTATTTATTTATTTATTTATTTATTTACTCATTATACAAGCCAAAATTTGAATGTGAATTCCTAAATTTGTGTGTATGAGGTGTTCAGAATATGGATATACATTAAAAATATTTTGTTTATAGTTAAGACAATTATTGCAAATTATATAAATTGAAATATTGTAAAAATAAGTTATTGAATTGTCTGTTCATCAAATATAATTTTATGTGTTTCAGGGTCGGAATAACTTCTTTCACACCTTGTTACTGTTTCTCTATCAGATGAATGAAAAGGAACATGGGATGCTTGGTAGAGTGAACATGGGTCCTTCAGGGATCAATATACTGTGGGTTATTGACAGATGATGATGTGTGCATTGTCATATATCTTCAAATTTTATTTTTTCATTTCATAGTATGTATGAATCCATTGACTGAATGCTCATTAAATGTACATAATTATCAACAATTTTATTATCATTAATTATTGTTTTGTCTGCAATGTTGCTTTTGTGAACTCCATGTTCTAACATCAATGTTTATGCAAGCAAATATATTTTTAAAGAATTGTTGTGCCAACAATTTTTTGATTTTGACAACTTTAGGTTTCTTTTAAGAAGCCTTTATAGTCTCACTGCTCTAAAATTTTACCTTGTATTATGAAACTTGAAAGGAACATATGGAATGTCATTGATTATGTGAATTCTGTTCACCGTCTGCTACTTCATTATTGTATTTGAAATAAAGCCTGTTAAACAATTTTTTCTTTTCTTTCTTTTTTAAATGGTTTAAGGCAGAGTGACTGAAGTCAAATTCATTGTGGAGTTTTGCAATGAATATATGATTAAAAATAGGTTATGATACATTCAAACCTTGTATTTTCTTTCTTATAATAGACCATTAATTTGATACCATCTTCAAGAATATGCAGACACCTGTGCCACCCACACACCTGCCCACGTATATATAAAATGTTTAATATCCCTATCTATCCTAGAAGTTGGTTTTAAAAAAAAAATATAGCATTTACTGTGCAGTGAATTGTCATTTGATTTGTTTTTAACTCAAGATCTTCGAAAAAAAAAAATTATTATTAATATTATTAAATAATTATTATAATATTTATTTTAAGATGGGGGCTAAAAACACTGGAAACATTAAAATCACCATTTAAAAGTTATTAGTAAAAAAGTAAAAATAAATAAAATGATTCACATTTTTATTTGTAAAACCTAACTCTAAAATTTACATTAGGACTCGCATGAAAGGAAACTACCTTTTCCTTGTAACCTTAATTGCACATGACCATATATTATGACTGAATTTATTTTACTCGGGACGCTGTCTGTATGAAATGCGATTGTGTCTCCCTTTTGAATCTTGAAACGGTATTAGTGAAAACAGAATTGTAGATCTCATTCTTCACACTTGTGCAATTGCCAGAAGGAAACATAGAACAAGAAGGAACTGAGAAGAGTATAACATGTACAAACTGCCCTATCCTCAAATGGATCCGAGGCTATACACAAACATAGGATGCGATTCCCCCTGAGTGAACAAGTCTGTAAGCATCAATGAAAAATATTAATAATCTTCACTGGTATCATCCTTTCTCTTTTAGATTTTAAACCTGACCCTGGAGCCTCCACATCTTCAGAAAGAATTCACAACCATGACTTCATGGAGTCCAGGCATGCAGATATGTTTCCAGGTTGATAGAGACTGGTGTAAGAAGATAAAAAGAGAATATAATGATGAAAAATGCACAAATTGTCAAAAACTGGCATTAGAAGCTAATATAGGCAAAAACAAACAAAATGAAAACAAATCCAGAAGTAATATTAAATGATTCCTTTTGTAAAAGTCATAAAATCATAAAAATAATAAAAAGGCATTTTGCCAAACTTCCAGGCTCTAGTAATCACAATACCATTTACGGATACTTTTCAACCCAGTTATGATCACTGATCTTGTTTCTCACAAATTTGTAGTAATTCTTTTTAACACAATGTTCCCAAACCTTAGTAGAGCCCGGAAGTTTGGCAAAATGCCTTTTTGTTATTGTTACTTTGCCTTTGACTATAGGAACAACTTAATAGTACTTCAGGAGTGGTTTTAGTAGATTTTCATTTTGCCTATTATATCATTCTTTTGCTATTCTTGCTCTTGGCACTGATCTTGATCGAACTGGATGTATACCTGCAAGCCTGGACAACACCAAGGGATGGTAGTAATTTGTCTTACTCTGGAAACAGAGGCTTTGTTAAAAATATACATGAAAAAGGAAGGGGATATCAGTGAAGATTTTTGATTTTTTTCATTGATGCTGACAGTCTTTGTTTGCTCATGAGGAACCCCATCCTACTTTGAGTATGGTCTCCAATCCCTTCTGAAGACTGCTCTCTGTGTTTGATATAACGTACTCAAGGCTGGTGAGTACAAAAGTGCGAAGAACAAAAAATTTAATTCTATTTTCAGGGATGCCATTTCAAGATTCAATGGGTCTTCTAATGGGAGATTGGCACTTCTAAGAGAGAGTGTTGGGTACAAAACAAATTCATAGCAATCATACCGTACTGTCATGCGAAATAGAGGTTACCAAGAAAATATTGTTTCCTTACATGTTACGTGCTAATGTAAATTTTACTGTTAGAATAAAAATTTGAATCATTTTACACATAAATTTTTTATGATAATTCTTTTTAAATGTAAAATTTTTATTGTCTATCTGCCTTTTTGCACCCCTCCTTTGGCTAGAATAAATGCCTTTTTTCATGCCTATTGTATTAATAATAAATAATGACTTAAATTAAAATTCAATTCAATTCTCATACTAAATACAATATATTGGAATGTTAATTAATTTTATAGATGGTAGTGTAAGAAGACAAAAATTAAAAGGCAATAATAATTAAAAAAAGGCTTCATAGGTGGTTATTGCCTGGGCTAGGCCCGTCCTTTATATCCAACAACCAGTTTGAGGGTGGGGGTGGGTTCAAAACATGCAACAAAAAATGCAAAAATTATTAGTACTAGATTATATTGATGTAGTTACGTATTTATGATTTATATATATTTGTACTGTAGAAAGTATGGTTTAACAGGAAAGCTTTCAATTTATTTTTGAATGTGTGTAACGCATATTTTTGTTCCAAGGTTGCGGGTTTAAGCTTTTAAATTCACTAGGGAGTTTATTACATAGTGTAATGCCTTCTATAAGGGTACTTTTTTGAAAGCGTGACGTTACATTGTGTGGGACATGCAGATATCTGTTTTGTCTAGTATCATAGTTACGAACTTCTGTGTTGAGAGTAACAGAATCCTTTTTTCTCTCTGTCTTCTTTGTAAAGATTAATATTTCAAAAATGCACATGAATGTGAGTGGTAGTATTTTTAATTTTTTTAACAGTGGTTTCTAGGACTCAAGTTTGTCATTGTTCTCAATATTTGTTTTTGGATGATGAAAGTTTGAATAATTTCTGGGGAATTTCCCCAGAATATTATTCCTTATTTTAGGTGTGAATGAACATTTGCAAAGTACACCATTTGCAGTTTTTCTAAGTTGCAATTTCACTTCAGGATGTATATGGCATACCATAACTTGATAAGCTTGTTGTTTAGATCTGTGATATAAGAGTTCCATTTTAGATCATCTTGAATAATCAGAGGAAAGTTGTTGTTTTTTTGACTATTCTAACAGGCATGTTTCTTTACAATCAATTTTGCTGGAGGCTTTTCTTTAGATAATGTATTCCGAAAGTTTAAAGAGACAGTTTTACTGGTATGATGAGTTTATTTTCCTGAAACCATTTTTTACTAGTACCTCTACGACTGTTTGTGCTTCTTTTTGTAGAGTTTGTTGGATATTTTCTTTAATAATAATGTTTGTGTCATTTGCAAATTGGACCATTTTGCTCTTTTGTGGGGTCAGGGGTATGTCATTGAGGTGTAATAGAAATAGTTTAGAGCCTAGGATTGATCCTTGTGGCACTACATAATTTATCATTCTAGGTTGAGAAAAATGGGTAAAAATATTTTTATCTCTAACATGCTTGATTGAGACTACTTGACAATGATTTCAAAGGCAAGATTTAACCCGTTGATGTGTCATGCCTCTAATTCTCAAAGTTTGAAGTTTGGATATTATATTATAACAGTATGTGATGGTCAATAATGTCAAAAGCTTTTGACGAATCTAGAAACAAACTGATGGGGATTTCTTTCTGAACTAGAGCAACAAGTATGTCATTTAGATAGGTGAAGATAGCTGTGTCTGTAGATCTACCATTTCTGAATCCACATTTTGCCTCTGTCAATATGTTATTTGAATTGAGAAAATTTTTGAGTCTTATCATTAAAAAGCTTTTCTAGAATTTTTGACAATCCAGATAGTAAGGATATTGGTCAGTAAACCATGAGATCGTGAGTGTTGCCTTTTTTGAATATTGCCTTAACTTTTGCTTTTTTGAGAATTTGTGGAAAGATATCTGTCTTTAAGGTATGGTTACAAATGTGAGTGAGGGGTTCTGTTATGTTTATCGCAGTGTGTTTAATGAGGGTGTCCGAGATATTATCCAGTCCTTTAGAGAATTTGTTTTTCATTTGATTTATGATTTTTTGCAGGTGATGTTTCACAGATATATATGGAGTTTACATCTGTCGATTGGATATTCGACAGCATATTTATATTATTTGAAGAGTGGCAGTGTATCAATTTTTCTCTAATTTTTGAGAATGCCTATTGAATGTGTTTGTTACTGCTTGTGGGTTGCACAGAACATTATTTTCGTTGTGAAGTTCAATGTTCTTAGTGTTTCTGTTTTTAGAGTATTTATTACAATGTTCCACATTGTTTTTGTTCTGTGCTCTGGCAAAGCATTGATCATGCATTAAGAGTTTGGCCTGTTTAATTACTTTCTTCAAGATACTTTTGTATGTTTTGTAATAAGCAATGAAATCAGAACTAGATTCATTGTGGAGGGTTTTTTCATGCATGATTTGTATCCTTTCACATGATGTTTCGATTCTGTTTGTTATATATGATTTGTGGTTTTTGTTTTTTATTTTCTTCACTGTTTGTGGGAAAACAGTGATGAAATAACTTTTGAATTAATGAGTTAAATTTGGTATTTGTGTCTGTTGCTTTGTACACCTTCTCCCAGTTTTCTGAAGATTAAAGAGTTAAATTTGTCCAAGTTTCCCTGAGAGAAGTTTCGTCTTTCACTATAAAGTGTTTCATTAATAACTTTTGTGTCCATTTTGAGTTTGAGTCTTTGCGATGTATGGTCACTAAACCCTGTGTTATATGTAACAGTTGAATAGCTCCAATTATTTGTGTCTATTATTATTTGATCAATGGTGGTACTGCTTTTTTTTACAGATATATTGGTAGGATTATTTACAATAGTATTATTTGGTCTTCCCAGACTATCTCCTTTCTAGATACTCTTGGTGTCTCAAGTTGCGTAACATCTGTGATTTCATGAAGTGTAGTTAATTATTCATTTATTAGCACATGCTTACTGCAGTAATTGAGATGATAGTCGATGCAGTATTAATCCGGATGAAACAATCGTCCCAAAGGCAGGGGAACATGGCTGTAAGGACCTTGAAGTGGACTGGCCCAAGTCAGGAAGACACACACCGTATGTTATGAGAGCCAAGAATGCAGAAAGCAGATTGGAAAAATTCTGGACGAGGAAAGGCTAAGGTCGCAGAAAACAAAGACCCAAAGTACTGATGCAGTGGCCCCCGATAAGGAGAGAAGCGATCCTGAGACCACGAAGCGCGCCCTAGAGGGAGCTCTGCCAAATAGACTCTGGTGAAGACGAAGAACTAGTAGTGCTACATAATGGCACAGACTTTCTCGTATTAGTTTTCTATTTCCTTTGGTCTCGGCTAGCTATTATGACTTGC